TAGTAGGAGAAGCAGGTATGCTTGGAACATTAAAGCACCAAGACTCAAAAAAATTTGTACTGAACACACCTTAGGAAGTCAAAAGCATACATGATGGCAAAATTCAGAGGATATAACAAAGCACAGTCTATGACAGATTGGAAAAGCAGACTTCTAGTTTCACACAACCATTGGTAAAATGGAAAATGTTTATCTGGTGTGTAAACATCTTTTTTTTAATCTACCAGAATCTGAGAATAAACGTTTTTTAGTACAATGGCTTGCAGTGAACACACTGACATCACAGTGAATAACAATGTTGCTTAATTGGAAGAGTTTTACACAAAACATAAAGCTTTATGTTTCAGCTTTTTACAAAAGTTTTCAACAGTTGGAGAACTGATTTAAACATCAAATTAGCTTCCAATTAGTTTACAGTGGTAAACCACTATAAACCCTTTTCTAAATTCATGTCCACAGCATTAGGCTGTATCAGCTGGTACAAAACTCTTACCTTATGCAGTAATTCAATATCATACCCTAGTTGTGCAAGTACAGTAAGTGCTTGATAAATCTTCGACCTCCCAGGCTTTGCTGTTAATACCTAAAAAAATGGCAAAGAGCATTTTTGTTGTGAAAACCAAGTCTGTGTCTTTATCTAAGCAAAATCCACATATATAAAACAGTATGAAATTCAGTTAAGTCTAAAATTCCAAGGTAAAGTTACACTAGGCCTCAAACACGTGCTTTGTGCTATTTTAGTATATCTTGTCAGAAAACAGGGCTAGAAGACATTATAATATTTGAAGTATTTCTTCACAGCAGTTATTTGGATAACCAAACTATGTATCAATCTCCAGTATATGCTTTCTGGTCCCTTTTAAGGCAGAAAAGTTTCACACAGAAAATAAATAAGGATCAGATTTCGTACAAAAACCATAACTTTGGCAGAGTTATCAGCTTGCACTGATAAGATAATATTCCCGAGAAGACACTCAAAGCAAAGTACATCAAGTGACCACACTGAACATTAAGCAACTTGCACAGTCATCATCGCGATCAGCATTACAAATCAAACAACTCTTAGGGCAAGAAAAAAAGAAAAGTTTGTATTTATTCTCAAAAAGGGCAAGGAAAGAAGCAAATTGTAGCAGAGAGATTTAACTTCGTATAATAGATTTACACAGCCTCATCAAATGACAAAAAGCCAAAAGAACCAACAGAAAGGAATCAACAAATGCCTAGTTAAAGAAGGTTCCAATAGCTTTTACTACACAACTCTTATGTAGTTCACTTTATAACCAGAAAAGTTAATTAAAAAAAAAACAAAATATGAAACCGGAACTGCCTTAAATGAATAGGCTGCCCTGTATTTAGTAAAATCTGACCATTTAAACATACCATACAAGTGGGTATTTAAGTAGTGTCCAACCTGTCATTTCACAGAAGAATATTCTTAAAACGTTTAATTTTTTTCACTTGGGTATTAGACACAACACTGGTTGTCTAAGCAGACCTAGAAGTCCTTGTCTACTTCAAGTAATTACAGGTTTATGATTCTGTATAAACCTCCCAGGTTCATGGAGAGGGAGAAACAAAAGGCATCCTTGAAGTGTAAGTACAGTTCTAGAGCTTTGGGACAGCATAAATTAGGAATATGTAATCCAGAAAAGGCTCTGCACATTAGCATACAGATCATTAATAAAAACGAGTGTAAATCATATTTTGCCTTTGTCTTTTCAGTACTGCACACAAAACAACTCAAGAGGACAAGTGCATCTCACTGTATTGGTATTTATGACTTGGAATCCTCTTCACTTGTGTTTTGAATTCAGTCTTCATTAACTAACCTGCAACTAGTAAACAAACTTGTTGCAAAAAGTATGGCACAGAATTTAATCACCTCACAATTTATAATGGAAAGCAGTTAGTCTGCTGCTGGATAAACTTCTCAAGGACCAGTCTTCACATTCGTAAGATCTGTGGTTATATGACAACAGAATGTTTCTTAATAGTACTATCACTGCATAAAGCAAACAAGTAGGAAACTGAAAACACTTAAAAATTCTGGTAGAAAAAGAATTCACTAGCAAAAACATTAAATATACAATATAAATGGGTTTCTGTTCTGTGAAGCACTAACCCTTCATTACCTGTAAAATGCCTTGCACATACCGTATACTCTTTTTCACTTATAAAGAGGTTGAGTTCCACTCTTCCATATCTGTATATGGAACTGCATTCATACATGGCAAAAATAAGCCTCCAAAGTCTGTTTCTTTCCAAGTGTTGTGGTACAATTCCAACAATTTTCAAAGGAATATCTGTTTAACACAATAGCAGAAGTATCTTTAAAATTTTGCAGCACGTCTTAGACCATCTCATTAATTCTAATGTCTAAACCATAAACAATTAAGAAAATAAAGTCTGTGAGTTCATGTTGTTCAAGAACGAATACAATTCAAGCCTTAGCCAAAGCTAAGCCCAGTTTGCATTAGACTAAAACTTTGAATGACAAGAAAATACCTAATTATCTGATATTGCCATGAGGGGGTGGAGAGTTCTGAAGCTATCATTAGTCTTAAGTAAAGCTGAAATGTAGAAAGCATTATGCATTAATCCAGCACATGTGTTAAATAGAACATATACATCAAGCAAATCCCAAAGGTTTTGCCAAACTGCCTATGCATCCTTCAAAAACATGTTTGTAACATGTGGGATTGTAAATATATACCTGCCCTCCAAGGAACTGCTGTTACACCCATGGTTTCAAAAAGTTTGTCAGAAGACACAGCAGGTGGTTTCAAAGCTCCCTTTGTCAAAGGATCCAGTCTGAAGAAGTCACCATGAATCACCTTTAACTGCCCATCCAGGCTATTCTCTAGGGACTGAATAAAAATAACTTTAGTTGAAGAAATCTGGATACGGTAACTAGTTTTGCAAAACATGCAACCCAAACAAAAAATGCATTCAAGTACTACCTAAAATTGTTGTCTGGTCAACAAGAGTCAGGTCAACATTAAGTCAGGTGAAAGTCATTGGTTTCAAACCAGCACTGTAATGCAAAGCTTCTAGAGCAACTTTCTGCAGCTCTGTGTCTGACCTGGTGTGAATCCATGCAAAGCCCAGGTAAGCAGGAGAGGACAACATACGTGTCAATTATAGGAAAACAGATTTAAAAAAACTGTGAAATAATCAAAATAACTAAGAGTATTTTTACAGATTTCTTACAGCTTCATACAGAACTCTTGCTTAAACATAAACATCTACAATGACTCTGATTAGTTTCAAATTTATACATAGAAATCTACATATACAATTTATGCATAGAAAGACTACGTATGAACTTTAATTCCTACATACACAAAATGCCAAATTAATTTAAAAATAATCTGCATTTGTGATGTACAATACCAAAGCTACATACTGTTATTAGGCATTATGTCAGATGTTGCAAGTAACAATCACTGCCTAATTCCTTTTGGCTCCAACAATTATACAACAATTGAAGCTAATGTCTCATTTTCCCTTTAATTATGTTTTAGAAACGTGCAACAGAATCAAAAGCATACCTTTAGGTCTGTAAGAAAATCTGAGTTACTTTCCAGAGCTACCACTCTAAAACCTTCATCAAGCAGAGATCGAGTCAAAATTCCAGGACCTTAGGTAGGAAAATAAAGAAAAACTTTAAAAAAAATTATTTTTAGAGGCGCGTTTTTATTTCTAAGTGATTGCCTTTAGTAGTTTTCCCAACACAACACTTGGGACATATCACCTTCAACAGGAGATAGCTTATGTTTGTTAAACATGCTCCAAAACAAGAGTTAGAGAAATGATTTATAGGCAGCATGCCCGAGATTGCTCACTGTATTACATTAATCACAGCGTTATAATTACATACTGAGCAGCACTGGAGACAACGTTTCTATTATTTTTTCTATTATTTTTTCTTCTGCCAACTGTAATATACTGTGAAACCTTACCCATATTATCCTTAGAACACATTCTGCAGAAATGTTAAAAAAAAAACAAAAAACAAAACAAAACAAAAAAAACGACCATTAGGTAACTGTAGTGATTTTGCCATGGCTCATAATCCCGGGTGTGCTTTTACTGATAAAGCTCGCCTACAAAACCACAGCATTCCCTGACAGAAAATTTCACCTCTGGTCACTCTACAGCAAAGTTTTAACAGGAGTGACTCCAGGCTGCTCTGCATAAATGGACCCCCCCAGGCACACCCAGATGTCCCGGGAAGGTGCCGGGCCAGGGGTCCGGGACAGCCCCCAGCCGGGATTCCGGCCGGGGCAGCGCCGGAACGCAATGCAGCTGCCATCCCCGCAATGCAGCTGCCATCCCCGCCCGAAATCCCGGGAGAGGCAGTGCCCCGGGCCCAGCCCCAGCCCTTGGCGGGCCCGGGGTGCCAGCATGGCCGGTGCGAGGGCGGCAGCTCGCACTGACCCCCCAAGGTCACTGGGGCGCGCCGGAGCCTCGGGGCAGCTCACCAGGAGCGAACTCGAGCAGGAGGGGCTGCGGGCCGGGGCCGGCGCCGGCTCCGCGCCGCAGGCAGCGCCGCACGGTGCGAGCCAGCTGCGGGCAGGCGATGAAGCGGCGGACCACGAGGCTGCTCCGCTGCTCCTTACGCACCGGCCGCTTCTCCTTCGCGGGCTCCGCTACCCGCAGGGCCGGGTACTGCCGCCCCGCCGTCACCCAGCACGGCGGCAGCCCGCAGAGCAGCGGCCGCAGCCCCGCTGCCAGGAGGCGGCCGCAGCCCGCGGCGCCCAGCGGGGCCCGGCCCGCCAGCATCGCCGCGCCGCCCGCGCCGCGCTCCCAGCTCCGGGCGCGTGATCGCCGCGGCAACCGGGGCGTCACTTCCTGCTTTGCCCGGCCCCTCCAGCGCGCTTCCGCTCCGCCGTCGGAGGGCTCTCCTCCCGCCGCCCGCCCTCTCTATGGTGCCCGCCCCGCACCGCCGGCAGCCTGCGGCAGCACCAGCCCCCGCGCCTCCACGCCATGCCGGCTGGCGGGTCCCGGCCGCCCGAGCCGCCGCGGAGCTGAGGTGAGCTGAGCTGACAGCGACTTATCCGCAGGGAGAGGAGGAGGAGGAGGAGAGGGAGATGAGATGAGATGCTTCCCCCGGTGCCGCGCACCGCCGCCGCCTTCTGCTTGTGTCGGCCGCCACCGGGCGCTCCAGGGGCGGGTTAGGGCCGCCGGTGCCGGGCAGGAGCCGGTGCCGGGCAGGAGCCGGTGCCGGGCAGGAGCCGGTGCCGGGCAGGAGCCGGTGCCGGGCAGGAGCCGGTGCCGGGCGGACCGGGCGCGCTGCTCGCCTGGGCCGGGTGGGCAGTGCCGGTGCCGCGGCTCCTGCCCCCGGCCGTGCCCCCGGAGCGGAGCGGAGCGCAGGCAGGGCTGAGCCAGAGGCGGCTCGGGAGGGGTTCTCGGGCGGCGGGCAGCGCTCTGCCGGGTGCCCGTGGAGCGATGTGCGCTCCGTGTGTCGGTGAAGTCCCAGGAGCTACGTATTTAGTTTGAGGTTTGCCTGGGTGTTTCGCGGGAGTCTTTAATCTCCGCGTCTGCAGCTAAATAGTCACTTTGGGACTCGGCTGTTCGGATCGCCCTGCCAGCAGGTGCAGGATTCTGCTCCGGCGGATCTCCGGCATCGCTCCTTGCCGGCTTCCCTCTGCTCCATACGTTGTTGCGATTATGGTTTAGGCGAAACCTTTAATTTTCGATAGCAGTGACCTTCGGCAACGTCCCCAATGCCTGAACGAGAAATAACTTTAGGACCATCTTCAGAGCGTTTTCAAGTTCTGCCAAACGGGAGTTGATCTTTCAGGGATGCTGTGAAAACCTGTCAGTGGCAGGCGAGTGGCCGCAGTGTATGGGGGAAGGGAGAGGGATTCCTCCCAAACGTGTTTCCCTGCTCTCGTTTGTGCAGAAGACAAGAGAGATCTGGCAATCACAGGGTACAACTGGTCTTCAAATTAATGGTTCAGAAGCAGACTTTCTGTACGCTTTTCTGCAAATTGCTCAATTTCTTGTGTCTTGTTTCTCTGCTTGAGAAATTAACACTTCCCTACTTAAGTAAACAAAGTCGTTTTGTTTGGTATATCGCTCAAAAACAGAAATTGGCATAGAAAATTGTGGCTTTGTTGTTCTCTTTTTGGGGGACCTACGTGTGGCATGAAGAGCAGCTGGGCTGAATTTAGAAAAATGCCTTACCAAATGCAGCAGTCCTTCATATCTGCAATTTATTTTTAAATACTCAGCTTTTTTTACACTAAGTGCTGTAATAGTTCTCCCTGTGCCTTAAGGGAAATGGACAGATTGTTCAGCTGGATGATGGGATAGACCTCAATCCATTTTTAAACTGGACTTTATGTTTTAATAGCTTTTTCCCTCTCTTACTAATTAGTCTGATAATTCAGTAATTTGTAGGACTTTTAGAACATCAAGCAGAACTTGGTTTTCTTAGAACAAGTGGTTAGTAACGTCCTAATTCAGCATTCCTTACCAAAGTTTAATGGCCACAGAAAGGTTAGGTATAGTTTTAAGCTTAATTAATGAGTTTTGGAAATTTTTGTTGTTCGTTGGAGGACTCAGGGTCATCTTTGAATGGGCTTTTCAGAGCAATTGAGATTATTCAAATGCTCTGACAAGTCTTCATCCACTAGAAATTATACACTTTTCTTCATGATTTTATTTATTTTAGCTTAGTGCTTGCCTGGATTGAACCACAGGTTTCTATGGGCTAAACTCATGGTTTGGTTTTTTCCCCCTACTAGAACTGCCAGATATATGGTGAATCTTTCATGCATAAAGGACTACCTCTTTATGGCCTGGTCATTATCTTTGACAAACTGTTGAAACCATAGGAAAATGGTAAGTTTTTTACATTCTTTTTATTTAGAAATATCAATTTAGAAAATTGTTTAATACATTAAAGTGTATCACAGGGACATTTGGACAGTTATTTTTACATTAATGGTTGATTGTGGTACATGTTTTCTAGTTTAATACTGCTATCACCACATGCAAATATTTGAATTTACAATCTTACCTCATACAGCCTTATGTCTTTGTAATTTATGTGCCTTGTTGAGTGCTCTGAAATTGTTTCCTCCTAATCACTGTTTCCTGAAATAAATCAGAGGGAATCAAAAGGGTTACCTGTTTGATTGGATTCCAGTCTATGCTTGAACCAAAAGAGTTCATTAGTTGTATGGGTCAAAAAGATAGTAAAGAGATTTGATTTTTTTTCAATGGTTCTAAATACCTTTTGCATTTACCTTTATTTGGCTTAATTTAAAGCTTATTTTTCAAGTTAATATTGAAGCATTAGTCTTTTGGTATTATTTTGCTACGTATTAATCACTTAGCCATAGTAAATATTGGCAATCATTTCTAAGTAAGGGTGAAAATTGCAGAAGTACCTGGATCTTGATCTCGATTTTCCAAACTCTTATGCCCATACTTCATTTTTCATACAAATTTGCAGAATTTCTATCTTCCACAAAAAAGAACCCGATGAGTATGTGAATGGAAATTTGCATGATGGTATTTTTTCCTTTTCCTCCTAGTGGATACTTATTGTTAGAGTCTCCTCTCAAGACTCAGAATACAGATTAAGTTTGAAAGGTTTACATGTTACCAAATACCACCTCTAATGTGAATTTTAGAAAAAGCTTTCAACAGAAATGAAGGAAGGTCTTACAATAGAGCTAAAAGAATCACTTAAGCCTATTTGCTTCAGTAATGTGAAAGTAAAATAACTTGCTACATGCTTGAGTTGGCAGAAATGTCTCTGCTGAGATGCAGGATGCTACAGAATTATTGTTTTCATGTATTTTATTAAGCATACTTGAATAATTTTTGTAATGCTTTGGTTGGTGACAAAGGAAAATAGTAGAAGGAGTGGTAAGAAATTTCTTCAAAAGTGCTCTAAGCACTGCACACTCAGGAAAAGAGTCTCTAGGCAGAATTATTTTGATACATCTATCAGAGTAGACTGATTCTTTTGCCATATTTTCTAGCCATCGCTGTCCCCCACTCCAAGCACATATATGCACAAAGGAATTCTCCCAAGAACTGAAGTAACATTTAGTCTTATGCCAGGATCTGGTTTGAGATCTAGTGAGTTTGCAGTCTGTGGGTTGTGTTGGACATCTTCCTTTGAAGTGAAAGTCTGCCTTTATAAGGAGCTCAGCAATTTTTTATTTAGAGCTGTTATGGTCTATAAACCTTCACTTACTGCTTTCCTTGACAATTAAAAATGGCTTGACATTTGGATGGGGGACAGTGGCTAGGGAGTGGGGGGAGTTTTGCTGTTTGGCCAAGCTATTAGTAGCAAGGGAAATTAGAATCCAAGGCTCCTTGGACGCTCGCCTGCTCCATGTGACAATGTAGATTCCAGCCTAGCACTGAAACCTGATTAATAGGGAATTACTGTCCATTAAAAGTCTGTTAGGTAAATTGTGCAGATCACTGCAGAGTGGCTGCCTAGGTACCAATTAAGTGAAACTATCAAGTCAGTTCTCCTTTGAGATAGTTTCTGAGCACTACATGTGTGGTCATGTATGCTAGAATAAGCTTATTTGAATAAAAAAGTTGAACTACTCCTTTGCTGTTTTTCTTATGTAATACCATGCTGTTTAATAGGAAAGCTTTTTCATACCAGGTGGAGATTGACTTTGCAGCCTTACAAACACTGCAGCAAACTTCACAGCTGACAAAAGAACCATTCAGAACAAAAATAAACATTTTTAACATGATCTGATGCCTTGAATTCTGTCCCTGTTGATGCTAACAACAATGGCCATGTTTTATTTCTCTTCTGATGAACACTAAGCAATATTTTTGATGTTTTCAGTGGGGAGGTGAAGGGCTTTGTAGTGTGAAGTAGTTGCTTAAGCTGCGTATTATGAGGCATTTTGGCAGGGTTACAAACTTTCTCACTGTGCTTTATCTCCGTGTTCAGAGAATCTCAGTCCCTAGGGCTATCAATCTGGCATCTTTCATCAGCACTAAATTTACTGCAAATATTTTTCGTGTGCATGCAAAAAAAAAGTGCTATTAAACCTTTGTGGGCAGGAGTGAAAACATTCAAATAGATGATTTTTCTGTTTATTTCTCTCAGAATTTCTCTTCACTGAATACTGGTAAGCATGTTTTGCTGACTTAAATTCACTCAGCATGTGTTTGTGTGTCTGTCTCATCATAAGTCCTTATCCAAAAGGCTTTTGAAATGTTTTCTTGCTCAAGAGCTTGTCGCTCTAAAGATTTTTTTACTTGTTTTTTTCTTATTACTCTACCTACAATGTAACTGTGATGTCTTCAAAACTGTCTGGCTAACTGATAAGGAAAGTGTAGAGGTGAAATGCTGTTAGTGCCAGAGATTCCTGTAGACAAATTTTGCCGTGTTGTGTGCTTGCTTTTTAGGAACAGAGTTGCTTAAGAGTGTGAAGCTTTTTCCACTGTTGTTCCAATATGCTGCTCCGCCTGTCCCAAATGAATTGCTTCATGTGTGGCATTAGAATGTGAGCTTTAGCACTGCTTTTCTCTGTCCATGCCAATGTCTTTTTTTGGAACATTAATATTACACTGTAGGGCAAGCTCAGATTAATTCAGAATAACTTGTAAAAAAGAAAGAACCTAAAACTAGTCGTGGTTTTCTTGGTAAAATGAGCGTGTTAGGAAGATTTTTAGGTTCATCTATGGAATATGTTACTGAAATAACATGGAAATTCATAATGTACATTTTGGAGGTTCTTTCTTAATGGTTAAAACTTGGAATTTTGTGTGCTTTTAGCCTCTAAGTGGGGGCAATATGATCTTAGCACTTCAGACCAACATTTCATCTGGACCTGCATCACAGTTAAGGTCTTGTTCATTCTGTTTTTACAGTTTTGCATGTGACCCAGTTTGGCAAAATAAACAAATTGTGGTGCATCTTGTCCTGAAATTACAAGTTTGTCAGTTGTTCAGTAATATTTTGGCATTTTCACTGACTCATGTCTTTATTTTATAAAGTGCTGTATACCATGCAGAACTTAACGTATTTAATCCTAGGAAGATTTGATCTTAACGAGGGTTGGCATATAAAATTACTCTTTATCCAATGTTGTTTTGGGAGCTGCTCAATTTCTTACCTGGATTTCTCTTTTTCTCCTGGAAGACTGTTGAAGTCTACTATGTTAATACTGAAATATAACATCATTAATGCAAGAAGAAATAATAGTCATTCAGTTTCTTTATGGGCTGTTAAACTTCTTCTGTCATGGAATCATTGAAACAATCTCACTTTGGGTTTTAAGTGAAAGTAGGTTTTGCCACCTTACAGTACTGAGTTTTTGTTCATGTTTTTGGTAGTTGGGATTTTGTAATGGAAATATCTTTTTAAAATGGAAACTACTTAAAGTGATCTTGATACTAGTTTTTTGAAAAGCTGATATGAAACAAATTACGTATCTGTTTACAAGCTCAGTTATTGCAAGCATTCAAATTCCATAAGGAGAAATTGGTAACTGTGTGTTTCAGAAAACCTCACTAAGATCTATTTGTCAAAAGTAAGTGCAAATTGTTAGACACAGCTCATATAACCAATATCTGTTTACGCAATTTGAGCTGGAATGAATTTACCATAATAACTTCCTGTTGGAAGGGGGAGATTTGCAACAGCACTCAAGGCTAAATTCACCACTGGGTTTAAGTGGTTGCAGCGTCATTAACTTCAGTCAAGTTACACCAGTGATTAATTTTTTGGGGGTTGTGATTTGCTTAACATAGGCTTCTTACAGTTCATACATGATTAAGTTCTTGCTCATGCATTTAAGGGCCAAAAAAAAAGAAGAAAAAAAACAGATTAAATGTATTGTACCTCCTTATAGTCCTTGTATGGTTCCCTTTACCAAAATATTTATTTCATAATCTCGTATTGTATTAATATTTGCTATGTCCCTGTGAAATGTATCAGTACTTTGTGGTTAAGAAATGCAATACAGATCATGTAACAGTGTGACAGACTTCATGGAGGATGTTCAGAGCAAAGAAGGGATTTCATCTCATTAATTTGTATCTGACACTGGATAGTGTAGGCACACACTAGTGTAGATCATCCTTCCTTTCGGAAACATAAAGCAAATAGATGCAAGATTTTAGTAGAGATACTGGATATCCTGATTTTTCTAATGATGGCAATTATTGTAACTCTAACAGTTAGCTCTGTTCTTAATTAACCTTCTGGTTGAACCTGCAGGCTTGATAATAGAGGGACCACAAGTATCTAATACTTACAGACAAGAATTGTTTCACGACTTTTATGGACAGCTTTCCAGTCTACTTGTGTTTTTTTCTGGCGTTGATATGATTTAGGACCTTACTGAATATTTTTATAATACTAATTTTCTATGTGTTGATGTGTTGATAAAACTTGCTTGTCCCTTAACAATATTAAAAAATTATGGAATTCAGTCTCACTATGAAATTTAATTCTCAGAAAGTCTTGAGCACTCTTCTTTCTTCAGTTGAGCAACTTTTAGATAATTGCCTCATTCTTCTTGCATCTCCATTTCAAGGGATCTGTTCTGTCATTTCTGGTTTTTCATCTATGTTGAAAATTGCTACCTGAGATCATGAAAGATTTTATATTGTATGTTTTTTGGCAACCTGTTATGAGATGGTAGGATCCAACAGCTTTCTCAGGTCCTTGGAAAGTAAAGATTTGGATAAGAGTGAGTTGAGCTGATTAATTTGATTTGCAGGACTTTTTTTTTTTCCCTGTAAGGAAAAAGTAACAATCCTAGAAAAGATGCATAAATTTGTCTAGTAGGAAGCTTTTCATTTTTGTCATGCTTTGTAATCAAACTTGTGCACATGTTCTGAAG